TCTCACATTCTCATCCTATGGGCTCTTAATTCCATCTGCAGTTACCAAGTTGTGACTTAGGAGATTTCATGTTGGGGAGATGGCGCATGGGCCTCATTTATCTTGAGAACTTTGCAAGCTCTACATACAACACCTTTGAGTTAGAAAATAATAGTATTTATATCGTATGGACAAGTGTTCCCTGAGAGCAAAAAGTGTGTCCCTTCAGCAATAGAACAGCACCCTTTTTTGTCCATCCTTCCACAGGATGGACACCCCCTCTGGGGCCTGAAGTCTGATTGGCCCACTTTGACTTCTGTCTGCATTCAAACATTACCACCAAAATGTGGCATAACCTCTCAGAATTGGGTGCTTACTTCTCCTGAGGCACTGGTTATCCTCTGCGTCTTGTTGTGTATGGACAGCTCCCAAATTACAGCTCTTTTGGGGAATATGTTTGTACTTTGGAGTTTGAGGATGTTCTTGGGTAATCTGTGGCTTCGACTTTTTGTAGTTCTCGGCTTATGTCTTTGTTATTTTAGGACATTATCCTACTTGAAATATGGTCATTCTCACCTCGTTCCTATCCTCCAGGTCCAGTGAAAACTGAGCATTCTGTTCAATTTTGATCCAGTGCAAAGATTCGGAAACCCAACTGGTATGAAATTGAGAAGGCACTGAGGGCTTCCGTTTTCCCTTATAGAAAATGAGACAAACACCTGCCTGCATAGGTGTTTAGAGAAACGAGAATGCAGAGGCCATAACAGATTCTGAGGATCCCAAGCTGAAATAGTGTCAATTCAAAGTGTAGAAGGACTAGGCAGCTTATGGATGTGTTTTCCTTGGATAGCTCCTCCGGGTTACAGAAGTGCGTGCATAAAGGTTGAGCATTTGTGTGTAAGCTGTGTTGCCAGTTTGGGCATTAGTTGAAACCTTAAGCCTGAATTTAATCTCCCTTCTCCCTTTTAACTATTAATTCTATTTTATATGGTTGGATTGACCAGGCCACCTCCTGCAGATTGATATTGCAACATTGGAACAAGGGCTGAGTGTACTAGGGACCTTAAGTTTGGTAGAGAGGTGACAAGTGTCTTACTGTTTGGCAGAAGTTCTTAACATCACCTTTAGTTTCTTGGATGGCGATTACTGATGATTTATTTCCGTGCTCTGCTTTCTCTTCTGGCCTGGCCAGAGCCCTCTTGCTTGGTGTTAGTATGCTTCCTGGTCACTCACCCACAGCTGTCATCGGGGGAAAGACTTAAAATCTCTTGAGTTTTTAGTACAGCTTAGAACTTCTCTGGCTCCTTGCGTGTGTGCACACACATGTACTCATAAGGACTATTTGGAATCTGTTTTAACCAGGGCTGCTTTAAAAGAAAAACAGTTTAGGAGTTTCCTGTGTAAGTACATGCTCCCTCGTAGGACCTCTTTGGTGTTTGGGGGGTTAATGGATTTGGCTATGTCCACACTTGGTTTCTTACCATTGTACCTCCCATTTCCAGATTTTTTCCCCCTCCCCTTAAGGTAAGCTATGACTTGCTTAGAATAGATTTTTCTGAAACAGTATTTAAATTCACCATGTTCCCTTATAGCAACTTTTCTTGACATGTTCTAGTTTTCATACTTTTCCAGCCAAAGTCTCCTTTTCAGTCAAACCTCATTTCATTGTCTGTTTACCCCCCCTAACCTTAAAGTAAGATGTTACAGCTTTTTCTCGCTACCCATTGTAGCTTCTCCCCCAACCATTCCCTCACTACTCACAGTGTCAGACACTCCCAAACAACCCTGCTTTCTTTCTTTTACTTTCTCAGGCTTGCATTCTCTCTGCCTTTGTCCCCTACTTCATATGTTACAACTTTAGAAAATGCCAGTGTAATTCATATAAGCCCGTTAGTCAGAAAGTAACCTCTAACTTGTGTTTTCTTTCTTCTCTTCTGATGTTCTCATTGCAGGGGTCTGGTTGGAAGCAAATGTTTTTTTAATGGACTTGCATCTCCTCACCTTGATCAGGACTAAAGGACGGAGGCCGCTCCACCCCTTCCCCTTCCTCCAAACCCCTAATGCCCTCCAGACACCCAGGGAATACCCTCTGCCCTACAGGATTGAAGATTGCCTGGTATCCCTCCCAATCCCACACCTCCTGTTTGCCAGGGGAAGGAACCTAAAGACTTCGTGTGGTTGGGAAGGGTGGCAGACAGGAAGTAAACATGTCCAGGCCCCTGGTCTCCATAGAGAATGGTGCTTTGTCCAAGGAAACGAATGAGTTTCTGATTCTCCAGGAGCAGTACAGTGGTGAGGTTGATGGGAAGACTTCCTTCCCAAAGAAAATGGGTCCTCCATGCGGGATCTAGGAGAGTGACTGGGTGTGCCAAAATACGCCCAGGGTCCTGCCCTCAGCACTAGGTTCAATGGGGCCAAGAGGGTCCAAACCCCTTGCTAACATACCACTTCTTTGTTTAACCCCTCTACCTTCCCAGCCCTTGGAGGAGGGACCATGAGAACAGAAATTACCTTCTGAAAAGCTTCTCCTGTTCTTGCTTTTCCCTCTTACATATTGACGGTTTGTTTCCCTGACCTCCTAGAGGGCTGAACCCTCCCAACTCCCTGCTGCCCAGCCTCCTTAGTGGACTTACCCTCCTAAGCAGAGAAGGCCCATGAGCTTGCTTTCTGCTGGGGAGCCTGGCAGAGCCAGTTACCACCCTCTGCTGCTTCGCGCTTGGTTGCCTCTTGCAATAACCAGCTCTGCTAGGTGTTCCCTTTGCCTGGGGCTTTTCCATTTCACACGTGGAGCCCTTCCCCCAAGGCTGCTTCCTTGTTTTAGAGGAAGGTACTGCCATTGGGAGATGGGGACATCGGACCTCAGCAGTGAAGAACCCTTGAGAAGTACCAGGAGGAGTGGGGAAGGAGGCAAGTTGAGCAGGATATGGCCTACTTCCATAGGCCTTTCTTTTTTCAGGTTTGATGTGAGCATGGGCTTGCATCCCCCAGGTACATACTTTTACTTATTGTGGGATAACCTGGCACTAGTAGGCAGGTAAAGTCACAAATTTGGTGTCTTTCCACCTTTTGACTGTTGATTTAATAGCTCCCCTCGCTGGCCTGGAGGTGCTTCCTGCCTCTGATAAGGAGCAAGGAAGAAGTGGAGCCTGTCTTGAATGAGCTCAGCTCAGAGTTCTAAGGACCACCACTCTGGGGGCCATTTTCTTCACAGGCAAATGGAATTGCTTTTCCCATAACATCCAAATTGTGATGTGGTTGCTGCTGAAGGAAGAAGCAGCAACAGGGTCCTGCAGTACCCACGGGGCGATGGATGCTACTTCTGCATGCATCTACAGGGCACGTGACATCTAACGTGAGAAGAGACGTGGCATGTGAGATGAGACTTGGCATGTGAGATGTAGGGTCACTGGAGACCCTTATGGCTCAGAGGGGAGAGACTGAGTTGGACTGAACCCTTCCTCTGTTCCCTGCACGTTTCTGACATGGCCCTCAGTCACTGAGGGGGGTCCCCCAGGGTTGGAGAGGCACATTCCCTTGGGACAGAGGCTACAAGTTTGTGGCTTTTTTCCCCTGTCCCCCAACCCCATCCCCACCTCCACGTCAGAACACGGCACCTTGCCCAGCTGGCCAAGTGTTAAGTGATGTGCTTATCCTCGAGAGCAGCTCCGGGTGTCTTTTTAAAACGTAGAGAAAACCAAGTAAGGCGACAGTTTAAGGAAAAAAGATATATAGAATACCAGAAAAGCTGTTTACCCGGAGAATTTTTTTTCTCCCCATTTTTGTTTCTACTCAATGACACAATTTTTAGTTTTATTTCCTGATAGCAAAAGGAAAAAAAAAACCCCAGCCCTCAAAAAGGCCAAGGCCCCGTCCCCCTGTTGTCGGTGATTTGTTTGTCTTTCTGATAGGTTGAAAATTGTGTAATAAACTTGATGACGCTGTCAATCTTTTATACTGCATTGTATTTTTTTCCTTTTGTAACAAAATATTTTTAAATAATAAATGGGGTGTGAGCTGTTTTATGGATTCTGCATTGAATAGATTTGTTGAGGTGTCTGGGGCCTGGGCATGGGCTGATGTAGAGGCTGTGGGGTGGCAGAGAAGCCTGCGTTCTTAGCTGGAACTGCATGTTGGGCATGTAGTTGCCTGTAGCACATCTCCTAGGAGACTTCGAGGCACACCTCTGGAGGTGCCCCTTGAGGTTGAGCTTTTTTCCTTAGTCATCGAAATAGCCCAGTTAAAGGAAAATTCTAAGTCATCCTTTACCCTTCAAGACTCCTAAGATTTATTCTGAGAATCAGTGTCCTACCTTGTACAGTTCAGCTCTGATGTCATCAAGTTCACAAAGGGAAGAATCCTGTGCTAGGAGTTAGAAGATATGCTTGCTCGTGCCTGCTTCCACCATCTAGATGTCTAACCATGGGCAAGCAGCGCAACCTCAGTCTCTCATCTGTAAGATGAAAATGATAGTGGATTCTGTCATGGCTCCTGGTGGCTTCTTGGGGGCTAAAGGAAAAAAAGCCACTGCTGAGCAAGTTAAGAAACAGTTTTAAAGATGGTGACTTGGAGAAGGGAAAGATACACTCATGTAGAGCAACATTCCTTCAGCTTAAAAAGAAAGAAAAGTATGTGTTCCTTTTGTTACCTTGAAATTTTAAAATAAATAACCAAAAAATATTGGTCAGTTTAGAATATGCATCTTCCAATTACTCATGCCTCACCCTGGGAAGGAGCTGACAGTTAGCTGTAAGTGGCAGGAGAGACACGATGCGGCTCTGGGGCAGAGGTGAGGACCATAAGCAGTCTTTTGCAGGATGACAGACCTGAAGAAGGTCCAGAAGTTGGCAGTGCCTTTAGGGATTAATTCAGGCTGGAGCTGGGGAAAGAAAATCAGACACCATCGCTGCCTGTGTCCACACTGGGTCACCAAGCGGCCTGGGAACAAATGGCTGGGATGGTCTCTACCTTCTCTCGGAGTGGATGAAAGTCTAGGGACATGGGCCAGAAGGAAGAGGCTACAATCCCCACAACAGAAAATATATATTTATTATAAAATAATGTTTTGTTTCATGATGAGAGTAGAAAAATAACACTATGAGCTACTAGCAAAGTTCTGGAGCTCAGTCTCTAAGGAAAGGGATGACAGGCTTTTGCATCCATCTGGGAGCACACCATCCTGAGGCTCTCCGTGCTCGTGCGCGACAGGCGTGGCACAGCACCAACAGGGATATGTGGCGCAGGGCCTGCTGGAAGCCCAAGGAGCCTACATGGTCCACACAAGATGCTCTGGCCACGATGATCAAAGAGGAGAACTTGAGGTGAGCAGGTTATTGATTCTGAGAAGGGCCCGGATGGGGACAACCGTGCCCCTCCCTACACTGAAGTATAGAAGCATCTCTTAGGCTGATGGCCCTGGGTTAGAAGATGGTGCCCAGTGGCCTTATGCTCGGTTTGTTGCCCAAATGTCTGTGCTGAGGAAAAGCTGCAAGCTTTCCCAGGACAACTTGACCCACCATTTCTCACTGGTGTGGCTAAGGTACCAGAAGTATGTGTGGTCTCAGCCCCTGAGAGCTGCTGGCTGCAAATTTTGTACTTCAAATCCTGTCCACACTGATGGCAGAAAGAAAGAAACAAAATGTTAAAAGTCCAGTGAGCAAGAGCAGTGACCTGAACTGTTGTATACCCCAAGCCTCTTGGCCCCAAAGAACAAAGAATATCTTCTCTAAGTGGGTAACTGTCTACCCTGAATGGGAAAGGCAGTCCCACAGGCACCGCTTTCCCCCTTAAAAGTTCTCTAGACTCCTCAGGCTTCAGAAGAACAGTGAGCCCCTCCCTGGGATGGGATGGGAACCCAACCCTCAGGTGACGGGAAGCATACCTGGAGAAGGCGGCCAGGGTAAGCACCTCCAGCAGCAGCTCTGAGCCACAGAAGACGAGCAAGATACCGTTCATGATGGCTTCCAGGCGGAGCACATAGGTCTGCAGCAGCAGGTAATAGGAGGCCATCATGGCAGACGGGAAGGTCAAGGCCACACTGATACCAAGTGGCATCTTTCGCTGGCAGAGGTTTCCCTTTGTACCTGTCAGACACAGCCCATGCGGTCACCTCCAAGTGGCCTGCTTTCTCTGGCCTCAGAGGAAAGGTGGGTGGGATGGGATGGGCTGGCAAGGCAGAGAAAAATGATCCTGACTGGGGATGTGCAGATTTATCAGTGGGGGCCCACTGGGATGAAAAGGAGGGGCTTTGAAGGAATTACAGGATTGGAGTCGTTCACTCTGAAGGCCCTGCTTCCAGGCTGGCTCCCACTCAAGGGACGAGGGGATCTTTATTTGGGGGGTAAAGATTTTTAATTATGAAAATATTATACAACCACTGAAAACTTTTCATCTAATATAGAAAATAATTTTAGAAAATATAGAAACTAAAAGACACCATTACTCACCCCCTGGAGACAGCCATTATTACAGCACGACATATATTGTTTCAGGTTTTTTTATATCTGTAGACCCACATATTACTATTTATTACTATAAAAATAAAATTATACTCTACATACTGTTTTGCAACTTTTTTTTCCCATTTAACATAAGTTAGACACCTTTCCACATATAATTGCCTTATTCTTTTTTAATGGCTATGAACGATTTCATTGAGTGAACACCATAAATTACTTAAGGAATCCTGCATTGATAAGATGTTTAGATTGTTTCTAATGTTTTCATGTTACAAATTACGTGGCAATAAACATTCTCATATAGATATCTTAGCATATCTGTGGAAATGTTTGATTTTTTCAGCCAGTTTCAGAAATAAAATTGTTAGGTCTAATAATACGAATTTTACATGGTAAAACTATTAGCAAAAAGGTTGTACTAATTTATATGCCAAACAGTGTGGGAATATAAATACCCATGAGAGTGTGGGACTATAGAGAGCTATTCCTCACACCCATTTGAATACTGGGTATCTGGAAATCCTTTTAATCTGATGGGTGAATGTTACCCTGTTGTTTCAATTTGCTTTTTCTTAGCAAGTTTGGGCATTTTGTCCTGTTTGTGGGTCCTCTGTGATTATTTTTATGTGAACTGCCTATTAGTGTTTAAATTAGGTGTCTTTTCCTTAGTGATGGAGGTGAGCCTTCTGTATCTTTTGTCATATGTGTTGCAAGTAATTTTTTTCTCAGTTTGTGTTTTAACAGTTTTCAGAGATGAGACATTCTAACTCATAAGGATTTGTTTTGTGTTTCTGGGGATATAAAACTTTTCCTAAAGAACTCCTTACTTGGAGAAGTGGAGGGCATCTAGGAGCTCATCTGTGCAGGCACAGACTGCCATGGACACGGAGTTACAACTGGATCTACCCTCCCAAGCAAACCAGTGAGAGGAACCAGGCAATTGGGAAGGAATTACCTCATATCTCACGCTCCTGTCCACCTCTGGCCCCACACAGCACCAGACAGGTAAATCTTCACCCAAAATACGAAGCAGCTTGAAACTTCAGAGAGGGTGTAATGCGATATACCCCCAGATCCAATCGCTTATTGTGAGCCTACGTTATGTACTTTTCTCGTTCGTCAGGTTACACATACCAGCTCGTCTCATAAGGAATGGAAATATTCTCTGGACAACACTCACCAAAAAATAGTCGAATAACTTCAATTCCGAGATAAAGGAGGAGCATCACCACATCCAGTACTAGATTGGCTGTTGGATATGGTAGCAGGAGACCTGCCAAGACAAAGCCAGAGTCTGCGAACAACATCTAACTCGCCCCACAAGACCTCCCACACACTTGGGAATAATGAGGACGTGGGTCTTATCAGCTTTCCACCAGCGAGTTAGTGAGACGGGGGCAGGGTCTGTGAACCTGCTGAGGGATATGTGGACTCCTAGGTCTGTCAGAGGCGGCTCATTACTATGGGGCTTTACTCCTAACTCCAAATGTCTGTGGGGACTCCACTCTCCAAAACGGTCAGAGGTACATGAGTACACAAGCCACTGAATAGTTGCTGAGGGTCACCAACGGGCTTAAAGTGGAGTTCAACAAAGAGTGGTGACAGGGGAGAGCGGAATGCAGAAGCCCACATTTCCCAAACTCAAGAAATTCTTGCTGAGGGGCTTCCGACTGAATCCTTCTCAAGGAAGCCAGGTGATGAAGAGCCTTCTACCTTGCAGTGAAGAGGAGCTAAAGAGAGGAAGGAAAAATAAGGCTCTTGGTGGGAGCTGGCTCTGGGCTGAAGGGATCTTCTGCTGAAGTGGGGAAGGGATGTTGGGGCAAGAAGGGTGGGGGTCAAGTCCCAGGCCTTACCTTTATACAGAAATATGAAGAGTTCCAACAGGAAATAGGTAGCGTAATACCACCCGTTCAGAAAGAAGAGGATTTCCAGGGGGGTGGAGGACAACCGTCTATCTGAGAAGATGAGCACAGAGAAGAGGGATGGGGATGAGCGTGAGAGCCGCTCAATCTCGGTTCTTTGATGGGTTCTGTGTCTAACTGGGAGAAAAGAAGAAGCTGCAGCTAGTTGGAGGGGCCACTTGGGGGCACTTCTGATTGCTGATAATGAGGGGCGTGTGTGGTGGGGAGTTTCCTTCAATCCCCTTCTTTCTCCGGGATCACTGTCAAACTCAACTCTTTTGGCTTCGGGGGGGTGAAAGTCAACGCCCCTCTAAGATCTAACCCCGTCACTATCCGGAAAGGGAAATTGGGGCGCAGAGACCCGCAATGGCCTGTTCGGGGTCACACAGCAAATTCGTAGCTGAGCCGGCCTAGAATAGGCCCAGCCGAGGATGTGGGGGTATTTGAGATCCGCCCCTCGAGACCTCCAGGCACTCGGGGTGGGTGGGGCTGCGAAAGCCCTCTTTGGACAAGTGAGGAGCGATGTGAGGTCCCTAACACCTGAGAATGGAGGGTCTAGGTCGAGGACTGGGAGACAAGGGAGGCGGGGGAGCGAAGGGATCAGGACCAGGACAGGACTCACACACCTCCAGAATCTCACCTCGCGGCGCCATCTTCAGTCCCCATGGAAACTGCCTACGCGGCCCCAGCCCGGAGCAGTGAGGCGCTGCCGGAAGCGTGGGATAGAGCGGCCCCGGCTTCTGGCCCCTCTGCCGGCCCGCGGCACTCTATGGTTGCCAGGGTCTCGGTGCCGTCTGCGCGTGCGCCGGGGGTGGCGCGGACCGCGCTCGGCCTCCGCTGGGGCTTCAGCTCGCTGAGCCTAAGGGATCACAGTGGCGGCCCACGGAGCAATCGTCTGCGGGACCCCGGCGGCAGGGGCAGCTCTCTGGCTCCCCCACCCGCAGGTTACAGTGCGTTGGCAGACGTGGCCGTTTGTGGCAATGTGACCACAGGATTGGCAAATAGCCCCAGGATTCTCTTTTCTAACAACAGTCTGAAAATGAGAAATGGTGTGCGCGACGGTTCTCTGCAAATGTGGGGTGGGGTTTACCATCGGCTTTGTGCGGGCGATTTATTACTAGGTGATTAGAAGCCAGCAAAATAGTCGGAACTAGAGGCACCTTTCTAGGAACACAAATAAGAAAACGCGAGGAGGAAACGTGATCACCACGTGATCCATAATGTGCAGCGGGAGTTGAGAGGACAAAGTACTCCTGGGTGGGAATTGAGAGAAGTTTCCAAGAGAGACGGCCAGTGAACTAGGTTTTGAAGGCCGAATACGATTTGGAGCAGTAAAAGAGTGTTACTGCCCGCAGAGGAGTGAAAAGAAAAAGGATGTGGAATGGACTCAGGCTGACTTGGCTGTTAGCCGGTTGTCAGTCAGGGAAGGGCAAGAAACAGATGGCACACTCAAACCAGGTCATTTGAGTAGAGTGACTAACCTTTAAGGAAAGTGGTGTACTCCTAGTTAGTTGGGGTGGAGGTGGGGCAGTAATTGTTACTTCTAGGCATAAAGGGGAAAGGACAGAAGCAACTTCCCCAACCTGCAGAGAGTAATGTCTATGGAGACGGTCCTCCCACCTGGAGCTGTGACAGTCTGAGAAGCTGGTAGATAAATATCCAACAGTGTTTCCCAATGCTTTCTGATCTCTGCTTGTGCCTCCCATTGGCAGAACTTAACTGCAAGCTGGAGGGCTTTCTTTTCTTTCCTTTTTTTTTTTTTTTTTTGGCTGAGGAAGATTTGCCCTGAGCTAAAATCTGTGCCAGTCTTCTTCTATTTTGTATGTGGGTCACCTCCACAGCATGGCCTCAGATCAGTGATGTAGGTCGGCACCCAGGAGCAGAACCTGGGCTGCTGATGTGGAATGCACCGAACTTAACCATTAGGCCATGGGCCGGCCCTGTGGAGGGCATTCTTTAGCCTCAGTGCAGCAAGTTACAGAGCAAGGCAGGGAAAGGTGGAAAGGGATCTGGACCCAGCACACCTACCTCCATTGCCTGCTAGACAAGAGACATTAGGCAAGTTCCTGCTCTGAGCCTCAGATGCCCATCTCTCAAAGGAAGGTAGGCCAGCTGCTTGTTTTTGTAAATAAAGATTTTTGGAGAACACAGCCACGTCCGCTCACTTACATATTGTATACAGCTGCTCTCATGCTACAATGGCTAAGTTGAGTAAAGTTGGCCCTCTATATCCAACGTTCGGCATTTGTGGACTCAACAAATCTTAAATTGAAAGGCCTAGGATGGCTGCCTCTGTACTGAATGTGTACAGACTTTTTTTCTTGTCACCATTCTCTAAACAATACAGTATAACAACTATTTACAGAGCATTTACATGTATTAGGTATTACAAGTAATCTAGAGAGGATTTAAAGTATACAGAAGGATCGCGTAAGTTATATACAAATACTATGCCATTTTATATAAGGGATTTGAGCATCCGAGGATTTTGGTATCCATGGGGGTCCTGGAACCAATCTCCTGGGGATACTGAGGGATGATTGTGGTTGCAACAGAGACTATATGGCCCACAGCCTTAAATACTTACTATTGGGTCCTTGAAGAAAAACTTTCCTGACCCCTGTCATAGACGACTGCATAAGTGCCAAAAGTAGACAATAAGACTGAATTACTCATAACGTAGCAAACAGCAGGAGCATCAGCATGGAAACCTGGTTCCTTGTACCCAAGTCCTAGGAGTGACACAATGAGCCCAGATGCTGATGCACACTGGGTTATGCCACATCTGAGAAGCCCAGGGCCAAGGGCTCAGCACCTTTTTTAGCAAGCAGCAAATAAGCTAGGCCCCTCCTCTGGGGGAGGGAGCAATTACACTACAGTCACACGGAGGTGGCCTTGACCTACTTAATTGCCTGCGTGCTCAGTATCAGGGGACAGTTAGGCCTTTCAGTTTGGCATGTGCAGCAAGAACATGCAGGGATGCTAGGGCCAAAGGCAGACTGCGTCTCCCAACCTCCAGTGACACTGCTAAACCAGCTATTTCCAATAGGCTTTCATGATTTGGATTTTAATGTACATAATATCACATCATCAGAAAATAAAGACATTTTTACTTCTTCCTTTTCAATCCCTATACCTTCAATTTCTTTTTCTTACCTTATTGCACTGGCTAGGCATTCCAGTATAATGTTGAATAGAAGTGGTGATGATGAGTATCCTTGTCTTTTTCCTAACATCAGGGGGCAGTGTTTAATATGTCACCATTAATATGTTAAACATAGATTTTTTTGCAGATACTCCTTTATCAGAAAGTTCCTTCTTCTCCTAATTTGCTGGAAGGTTTATAATGCATTTTATTGAATACTTTCTCTGCATTGAGATAATCATATGATTTCCCCCCTTTGTTCTGCTAATGTAATGAATTACATTGATTTTCAAAGGTATAACCGAACATGCCTTCCTGGAAAGAAATGTATTTGGTTATGATATTGTGCAGAGAAGAGTCGACGTAGCAGGCCTGAGACTGCTATCCTTAGGAAGTCCTACTTCCAGGGTTGGCCCTTGGCTGGTGTCTGGGAACTTGGATGTCAGAAGGATTTCCACCAACCCAAAGTGGCTTGCTATGCCTAGACTGTTTGTACAAACCATGTGGTTTATGCTGAACACCTGCTTCCTTCTGGGAGTCTGGGATTTTGGTACATGCTGAGCAGAGGATGCCTATGTTGCCTGCGTCCAATAAGAACCTTGGATACTGAGTCTCTAATGAGCTGCATTTCACACATGTTGTCAGAACTTGTTCCTGGAGGAATTAGGTACATCTTGTGTGATTCCACTGGAGAGGGTTCTTGGAAGCTTTCTCCTGGTTTCCTCTAGACTTCACCCCATGCATTTTTTCCTTTTGCTGACTTTGTTTTGATCCTCTCATTGTAATAAATCATAGCCATGAGTAGGACTGAATGCTGAGACCTGTGAGTCCTCCTAGTAAATTATCGAACCTTGGGGTGATCTTGGGGACCCTTGACAGATATAGTACCCTTTTTATATATCACTGAATTTCATTTGCTAATATTTTGCTTAAGTTTTTACATATGTTATGAGAGAGATTGGTCTGTATTTTACTTTCTTGTAAAAGACGTTGTCAAGTTGGGTATCAAGGTTAAGTTGGCTTCATGAAACGAAGTGAGAAGGGTTTCTTCTTTTTCTATTACCTAGAAAAGATTGTGTAAAATGGGTTTATTTATTCTTCAGAAGAATTCACTAACGAAGCCATCTAAACCTGGAATTTTCTTTGTGGGAAATTTTAAAATAACTAAATTTTTTTTTTTTGAACATTTTTTGCATGTAGTCAGATGTATCCTTTTTTTTTTTTTAAGATTTTATTTTTCCTTTTTCTCCCAAAGCCCCCTGGTACATAGCTGTGTATTTTTAATTGTGGGTCCTCCTAGTTGTGGCATGTGGGACGCTGCCTCAGCATGGCCTGATGAGTGGTGCCATGTCTGCACCCAGGATTCGAACCAGCAAAACCCTGGCCTGCTGAAGCAGAGTTGCAAACCTAACCACTTGGCCATGGTGCCGGCCCCTAAGTTTCTTTAATATATATGGGACAACTCAGATTTTCCACTCCTTGAGTAATGTTTGGGTAAATTTGCCCATTTTTTAATAAGTTTTCCAGTGTATTGGTGTGAAGTTTTTCATGACATCCTCATATTTTTTTTTATTAAGATTATGATAGATTACAACCTTGTGAGATTTCAGTTGTACATTATTGTTAGTCATGTTGTGGGTACACCACTTCACCCTTTGTGCCCTCCCCCCATCCCCCCCTTTTCCCTGGTAACCACCGATCAGTTCTCCTTGTCTATATGTTAACTTCCACCCATGAGTGGAGTCATATAGAGTTCGTCTTTCTCTGTCTGGCTTATTTCGCTTAACATAATACCCTCAAGGTCCATCCATGTTGCTGCGAATGGGACACATCCTTATATTTTTTAATGCCTGTAGTATCTGTAGTGATGTCCCCTTTTTGTTCCTGTTTTTTTTATTTTTGAGGAAGATTAGCCCTGGGCTAACATAAGCCGCCAATCCCCCTCTTTTTGCTGAGGAAGACTGGCACTGAGCTAACATCCATGCTCATCTTCCTCCACTTTTTACATGTGGGATGCCTGCCACAGCATGGCTTGCCAAGTGGTGCCATGTCTGCACCTGGGATCTGAACCAGCGAACCTGAGGCCGCCGAAGTGGAATGTGCGCACTTAACCACTGTGCCACCGGGCCGGCCCCAATGTTCCTAATATTTTAAATTTTTTAATCTTGATTATTTTTGATAAGTGTTTATCAATTTTAATAATCTTTCTAAAGAATCGCCTTTTGACTTTATTTTTCTTCACTTTATATTTCTTTTCTACTTTGTAGATTTCTGATCTTAATCATTTCCTTCCTCCTGAAAATACTTCAGGTTTCACTTGGTGTTCTTTTTGAGATGGAAACATGTATCTTACGTTTTCAGCCTTTCTTCTTTGCTAATATTTGTTTTTAAGGCTATCAGTTCTCCTCTACACACTAATTTAGCTGCATCTTTGAATCCTGTGCCCTGCTAAATCAAATTCATTTATTAGTTCTAATGACTTTTTGTAGATTCTTTAGGATTTGTTAATGTTCATAG